CCATTCATTAAACTATGTATACATTTAATTAACTTAACAACAAAACTTAGATCATTACTCCCTCTTGTCGTAATAACAACATAACATGTTCTTCTTGACAAAATCTAGTGAAATCTTAAAAATTAATTATTGCAAGTATCATTAACTTCTAAAATATTTAGTATGAAAATGAGATATATGTGCAAATTTTGCATTAAAAACTACTCCCTATTCCAAATCATCAGACGTTTTGATTTTTCTAGATACATATATACTTAGATATACACTGTGTTTAGATATATAGTAAAAGTAATGTACCAAACCAAAATGTCGTATACTTTAGAATGGAGGGAGTACTTATAGCTTGCAAAATCTCATAAATTTGAAAGATATTAAAAATACATTTTAGAAGGTATCAGTGATTACAGATACGTGTGGAACATCATACAAACTCAAATATGGAGCCTCATCTACTTGGCTTGCGCAACCAACTAATGCTTGAGCTATTAGAATGGATGGCAGCCGAGCATAAATGTGAAACAATGGTGCATGTGGAAAACATCAAGCAGCGTCCATTTCAAACAAGCCTGATCTCGACCGATCCAACTTCTTTGAGATCTTTGACTTGAAACAACTTTGATGGAGCCGCTTACCATCATGATCTTAACTAAGAGTTACTCTCTTGTGTATCAAACTTCTCTCACTTAAACTCCCTCAAGACGAATGTCTTGGATCCCCTAAATGGTATAACAAAAGAAAAACAAAGCTTTAATATCCAAGCATCAAGCCTACATTGGCTTTATAGTGTCCACATTGGCTCTATAGTGTCCTTATTCTTCAGGAATATCCTCTACGCCATACCCCAATCATCAATCCAAGTCTATGGGGCCAAGACATTTGTGACCAATCAACTTGTGACTAACTGAAATGTGATTACCGTTGCAAAACACAAATTAGTCATAACACTTGTGTTCATCAATCGCCAAAACACCAAATCACCAAATTGGCCTAGATACATTCACGCATGCGCAGCGAGAGCCTAGACATAAGGAGACAAGCAGCGTTGTGGTTCGAGGAAGGAGCGTTGTGATGGAGACAGACACCAAGGAGACATTAGTGGTAGTCTGGTGAGGTAGGTGATGAAGCAACGGTAGGACGTGGGCAGTGGCAGAGCCAGGAATTTGCGGCTGGGTATGCCACATGTATAAAATTTCAAAGCAAATATGCAATACAATGGACGATAAGTTATAATGGCCATAACAAATCCATAATATAACCAAAGTACAAGTTCGAAGCATAAAATCATAATTCCGCATTGGCACAAGTTGGGGAGCTTCACCATCATTCTGTGCTGGCACAAGTGCTAACTGCATATTGCTCCATTACTCTCAATCTCAATAGAATGAGCATTTGGTGTCGAAGTGGAGGCTTTTTTGCCTCTGCCTTTGCAGCTTTCTCCCACAATGCAAACATGCCAACACCCTTCTTCTTCATCTACATCATAAGAATTAAGAATACAACCAAAAGAATTAGAAAAAAGAAAATTTCAATAGCTCACAGAACCACTGAGGAGTGGATCTAGGCTCTAGGGTGTTCTGCTCTAGGGTGTCGCCGGAAGGTGCTCAGGAAGGGCCGCCGCTGCGACGCTGGGACCTGGGAGGAGGCAGCCGCAGCAGGGAAAAGGGCAGGGCCGCAGGGGGCGACCGGGCGAGTCGGCGAGGTGGAGGGCAGTGGGGCAAGTCGGCCGGAGTGGGGCAGGTGGCGAGGTGCTGCCCGGCGGCGCCGGTCGCCGGAGTTGGGGAGGTGCTCCGTGCTCGTGCTGCGGCCTGCGGCGCGGAGCAGCCGAGCAGGGAAAAGGGCGCCGGGCGATGGAGTTAGCAGAATGTATTCTGGGCTTCCTTCGTGGGCTGCAGGAAACAGCTGTTGTATTGGGCCTGTGTATTAGTGTATATATATATACATATTAATTTTGTCTCTAAAATCTTGGGTATGCCTTGGCATACAGGGGCATACCCCTGCCGCCACCCATGAACGTGGGGCTCTGGCTTAGGCTTGACTTGGCTTGGCTCGGAGAGCGAGCACATAGGAAGGAAAAGAGGCTAACGAAGCTACTGGTGCGCTCCAGTAGCTCGGGTCTGGGTGGAAAAGTGGAGTATAAAAAAATTCTTAAGGTTTCTTTATATAACATGCCTTTTCTATTTACTTAATAATGAAAAAAGTTGCAATAGGTAGGATAGGAATGAGCTGAAATTTGGCCGAACAATGAGAGGTGGTGCGGGCTGAGGGGAAAAGAAAAGGAAAAGAGGAGAGAAAGGGAATCGGCATAATAGAGGTTCGATGGCTTATCTCTTTTTGAAAACCATGAATCTTTGACCATCCCACTATTGATACCGTTCATATTTGGCCATTCGACTAGTTTGATGGGTGATTTTGGTGATGTGGACATCATGCGGCAGTCAGGCCCACATGTGAGAAATTCAAATATAATTTTGGAACTATAAATAATTTCTTATGAAAAGTCATCAACTACAAAGTTATATATCTCATCAAGATCTATAACTTTGGTTTTAATTGTTTCTCCATCCGAGTTCTTGTTTGAACAATTAGAAAAAAAATGAATTTCAAATATAATAACTTCAAACAGAATTTTGGGACCATAAATGATTTTGAATGAAAACATTGTCAACTAAAAATTTCTAGATATCATCGAGATCAGCAACTTTAGTTTTCGTCGTTTCTCCACTCGACTTTGTTTGAACAATTCGAAAAATTGAATTTCCAAATATGGAAACTTTAGACAAAATTTTGAGACCATAAATAATTTCAAATGAAAAGTAATCAACTACAAAGTTGTAGATCTTATCTATATCTTCAACTTTGGTTTTGGTCATTTATTATCCTAGTTCATTTCAATAATTCAAGAATTTGAATTTCAAAATATGAGAGCTTCGAACAAAATTTTGGAACCATAAATGATTTTAAATGAAAAAATCATCAGCTACGGAGTTGTTGGTATCATAAAATCTACAACTTTTGTATTGGTGATTTTTTCATCCAAGTGCGTTTGAACAGTTCAAAATTTTAAATTTCAAAATATGAGAACTTTAAACAAAATTTTAGGACCATAAATGATTTCAAACAAAAAAGTCATCAACTACAAAGTTGTAGATCTTGATAAGATCTACAACATTGATATTTAGTTAGTCTTGATTTGACTTGATTTATAAACTGAGATCTTACATGTGAGCCTGACTGCCATGTAGAACTGAGCAAATTTAGCCCGGCCCGAGTCTGACGGGTTTTAGCCCGCCCACGAACCAGATCTCGCTGCCTAGAAAAAAAATTCTTGGTCCGAGCATGTCCCGAAATACTATTTTTTGTTATTTTACACTGTAAAATACCCGGACCCGTCCCGAGCCAGGCCCAACCTGCCCAGTGGGACGGTCATAGGTGAGACTTTTTTGGCCCAAAAGAACTGGGCTTTTTCGAGCCCCACAAAATGCTCAGGTCTACTGCCACGTCACCAAACCACTCATGAAAATTGATCGAATCTCGCCAATATAAACAACATTGTTGGATGGTTGAAGATTCTTGGTTTTGTGTTTAATGGCCAAAATCAAACTCGGACGATAGTTGTATAGTCAAAATTAGACTTATACATTTTCTAAAACATACATCAAACTATATTATTATTATTATTATTATTATTATTATTATTATTATTGTTATTATTATTATTACAAAAATAATATAGTCGGACTTAGACGCTTTGAAGTTTCTAAAACCTTTCTTAAATTCGTTTGAAATTATTTTGAAACTAAAATGTCCCAAAATGAAATCGAATTTTCAAACTAAACTTTATAATTATTTTAGGAGATGTTTTATACTTTTATTAAGCGATATAAGATTGTATGACAATAGGTATTATGTCACAACACATTGGTTTTTTTTTTATCTTAGTTGGGACCGGCTAGCTATATTTTTTTTAGAATTACATAGTACAATATAGATGTCCATAACCCGCACGCACACTCACCCATATGAGCACCTCCGATCACCTCTATGAGCATCTCCGAAGGACTAAGCCGGTAGATCTCGAGATTCACGAATCACAAAGTTACTACAGGCGTCTCGCTGTCGATAGGGACGTCGCCTACCACTGAAAGCATAGCGCCGTTAAATCCTGGAATAAATCCTGGAATAATATGAACACCCGTATCAAGTCGAGGACTTGAACCCGGGTGGGTAGGTTTCACCACAAGAAACCCACCAACTGATCTATGATCAGTTCGCAATAGACTAGCTATATTTGCTAGCATGAATGATGCATCTGTTTTTTTAGAAAAACCAACAAACGACTATGGTAGTCAAGTATCACTACTGGAAACTCGCATTCTTCTGTGTGTGTGAAAACACACAGAAAAATACAAATACCGTCAGAAAAATATTTTTCTGACGGTGTTCCATCAGAAAAATACACACGAAAATATAATGACAGAAAAATTCAATTGTTCTGTATGTTCGCCGTCAGAAACAATTTTTCTGTGGGTGTTACACGCACAGAAAAATTATGTTCGGTCAGATTAAAAATAAAATTTATGTGCATTATTCCTCATAGAAAAAAGAAAAACCCGCCAGAAAAATTATTTTTCTGTTAGTGTTGTCCCGTCAGAGTTGCAGAGGTGCACTCACAGAAAAAAAATTATATTTTTCTGTCGGGTTAGGTGAACGCACAGAAAAATTGTATTTGGAAACAATAACAACAGCATATTAAAATATGGACTGTCTATACAGTAATTTCATCACAACATATAAAGATGGAGTCCAAATATTGAGCACATTCATTCATAGCATCTAGGCTACATGTAAATGATGTCCAAATGTTCCGGCATCAATACATTCAAAAGCATGACCATCTCATCTCAGCAGTTCTTGAATTTTACTATTAATAACTATTGCACTACTATGCTGACAACCAGATCGATGTTGCTACCGTTGAAAATGAGCAGCTCTTAGCTCTTTCATCGCTGCTCCTTCTTCCCACCGGAGCCATTCCCATTGCTCTTCAGGTCAAGCTGGACTTGGATTCCTGGAAGCAAACGAGGTTACCGAAAAGTTAGACGCAACGAATTCAAAGGGATATATAGGCTCCAAGCAAATGCCCAACAAGTATGAGGACCTTTCTTCTTGTCACTTTGCAGGTCCAGCTTCGGCGTAGAGTCAGCAGGCACAAGTTCATCTGAAGGAAGAAAAAAATGATTAGATAGCAAGTCATATGGAAAGAATATTTCTTTTTCTATGCAACTTCCAATAGCATCCAACTGACTAAAAACGCTTTAGCAACTGTAATAATGGATGCAACTTCTATAGCATCCAACTGACTAAAAACTTCCAATAGAACTGGCTGTAGCTATATCACAAGTTCATGTTTCTATTATCTCAATTTGTATTTACTTGAATGATGCTACAAATCTCCATAAAAAATGAGTAATTTCACAATTGCATTAGAGGAAGACAGTGTGGCACCACAAAGTTGCCTCAAAACAGATCCATTTTATCCAAATGCCTGACACATTAGTCAAACAAACAGGCATCTACCTGATTTTTTATGTTTGTTATATCACTTATATACGAAAGGGACACGCACCATTATTTTCAGTATCAGAAGAATCATCTTCAAGGCACTTTTAACAGCAGGTTGAATCCCATCCATAGGACTTGGATGACCCTACATTATAAAATAAAATTTATTCAGATCCACAATGACAGAGAATGAAGACAAAGGTAAACTATGAAAAACAAGTTTACTCAGCTAGGGATAATACTGCATAAATGCTTCCAACATGACAATTCGATAAATGCATTTATCTACAAGTTCTGTAACATATTTGTTGTATTTCAAAGTCACTATAGTTTTGTATCCAATATCCATAAATCACATGATTGCAGATTTCTAAGATAGTACCCATTACATATTTAACGATTGACATGACGTGGCGACAATGCAAGAAAAATGCACAGGATGAACACAATAGCTGAAGTGCTGAACAGGCTACTGCCTGAACACACTACTCAAAACTATTAAGAATGATAAAAGCCATTCACACAATGGACCATGCAAAATTACCTGCCAAATTGTATTTGAGATTACTGTATTACAAAATAAGAGCTACAAATGCTAGTTACCGATCAAGCAATTCAGCAACTCCATGTTATGGTAGGTTACTAAGCAATTCAGCCACGGAACTTCAGTTGTTACACAGATTTTCTGAACAAAAGAACAATAAGAAAGAATAATAACTTCTAAGATATGAATTTCAGAGTTCATATGATCTGTGGTAGGGTGCTTGGACGACTGCAAAAGTTGGCACAGAATACTACTTCTACAGTCTTAATTTCTTACATCTGCAGTTCTGTCATCTGTGGGAATTCTTGAAGCAAAATTTAATTACATCATTCATCAGTTGTGTGGCATCTCTATTTTCAAGACTACAGAAAAACAACAAAGTTTGGGACCAATTCCAAACACCTAATAAAGCACTGGGGATTATTATCATCATGATGCAATAATCACAGTGATTTAGGAAATGGGAATTTGCATCACAGATTGCACATAAAAAATACAACAACCAACAACCACCACAACGCCCCGCCGCCGGCCACCACCACCACCACCGCAGCCACCGGCTGGATCCGGGAGAGGGAGGGCCGATCCGCCGGGTGAAGAAGGGGAGGGAGGGGCACCACCGGGAAGAAGAATGGGAGGGAGGGGCGCCAAGGGGAGAAGAATGGGAGGGAGGGCCGCCACCACCACCACGCCCCGCCGTCGGCCACCACCACCACCACCGTAGCCACCGGCCGGATCCGGGAGAGGGAGGGCCGGATCCGGCCGGGTGAAGAAGGAGGAGGGGAGGGGCACCCACCGGGAAGAAGAAGGGGAGGGAGGGCGCCCACGAGAGGGAGGGGCGCCATGGGGGAGAAGAAGGGGAGGGAGGGCCACCACGCCCGCCGCGCCACCACCACCACCACCGCAGCCACCGGCCGGATCCGGGAGAGGGAGGGCAGGATCCGGGCTGGGTGAAGAAGGGGAGGAGGGCACCCGCCGGGAAGAAGAAGGGGAGGGGAGGGCCCACCGGGAAGAAGAAGGGGGGGAGGGAGGCGCCAAGGGGAGAAGAAGGGGAGGGGGAGGCCGCCACCACCACCTCCTCGCCGCCAGCCACCACCACCACCACCGTAGCCACCGGCCGGATCCGGGAGAGGGAGGGCCGGATCCGGCTGGGTGAAGAAGGGGGAGGGGAGGGGCACCCACCGGGGAAGAAGAAGGGGGACGGGAGGTGCGCCGGCGGGGGAGAAGAACGGGGAGGGCGCGGATCTGCTCGGTCGTCGTCGGCGGCGACGGATCCGGATGCGGCCCCACCTCGTCCTCGCGCCACCAGTGAGGGAGGGAGAGTAGAACCACCGGAGTTGATGACGATGCGCGCGGCCGCCGACGTGGAGGTGGTGGCGCCGGATCCAGCCGCCTGGGGGCGCGCCCGCCATGGATTTGGCCAGATCCGGGGGTGAAGGAGAGGGGCCGCGCCCGCCACGTCGATGAAGAGGGAGAGGGAGGAGGGGAGGAGCGGTGGCGCTGCTCGGGTAGGGGAGGAGTGGCGGTGCTGCTCGGGGAGGGGAGGAGCCCCCGCGCTGAGTCGCAGAGGGAGGGGCGCGGCGCTAAGTCGCGAGGCGCTGAAAAGAGAGAGTGATGGAGGGGGTGCGGTTCTGAGTCGCGTGCGAGAGTGTTTGGGGCCGGCGTCCGGCGGGTTAGGGTTAGGACTTTTTTTCTATGCGTTTTTGAAGAACCGATATAATAAATTGCATTTTTCTGTGAGTGCTGATTTTTCCGTGTGTGTATTGTCACGCACAGAAAAATCATACAATTATTCTGTGGGTTTTCGTATTTTTCTGTCAGGATATTTTGAAACCCATAAAATAATCGTAATTTTTCTGTGCGTACCGAAATAAACGCACAGAAAAATTCATCACCCACATAAATATTCGAGTTTCCAGTAGTGTATGCCTTAAATATCATCACAAATGTATGACAGAAGTAGGCTACGAAGGTTTTGAGTTGATGTTTATCAACAAAAACACGAATCTGTAGTAAACATCTGTCATCCCTAGTAAAATCGTCACAAATAGAACCCGTTTGTAACAGATAATTGATCTGTCATTCGAAAACTATTATAGATGGAAAGATCTCTTTTAGTGTATAATGGCCTGATTGCTTGACGCGCCGCAGGCAAAGCTCTTCGCATGCAAGAATCCTGGCCATAGGCATGGAGAATCGAACGCCTGGAATTGTCTCGGGTGCCAGGCAGTCTGCCTTGACTAAAGCAAACAACAGGCCCTAAATGTGCTAAGCCCATTGCTTGGGAGATTGACGACATGAAGGATGAGGCCGAGTGATCAGAAGAGTTGGATTCAACATCAAAACTAGCCATTCGTCTCCTATATATGATTGGATAAGGCTTAGATTCGAGCACACATCTTGCCAAGAAATTTTTGCCATTGCTTGAGGTATGTATTCATGCCATCATGGGTGCACAGACAACGCATCCGCTGGGCGTAGACCCTGAGATTCCACATGATTCATGGAATCATTATCTGGAGAATCTTAGCATTTTTTCTTGATCTCTATCTTGCGTGCGTGAACAGTTACCCTTTGGATGTAGCCCCCTAGCTTCCGCTTAACTCAAAGAAGTTGAGTGAAAAGTCTTCAAGTCTTGGAGGACTGACTTGTATCCTGATTATTTTGCAGGTTCTATCTTAACGTGAGGTCATCCGACAAATCTGGTTTTGTCTTGTGCACGATATGGTGGATTTTGTTTTTTGCATACCTTTTTAGTGATTATTTTTTGGAGACTTTTCACATACCTCAGCAAAAATGGCATAAAGTTAGGTAAGTTTCTCTCTCTCCAGTGATAAATATGTATGTCATTCTAAAACTAGCATTTGATGGAGCGCCATTAGTAACGATGGCAAAAAATTAAATACCCATGGTTCAAGCTAGGTTCAGTCTCTGCATTCATTCTCTCTCTCTCCTTAAGGGCATTTTCTTTCATCTCTCGTTTATCTAAGGAAGGCACCAAAGGAACAGACTGGAGCGTCAAATTAGGCACCTAAAGCAAACCTATAGTGTGATATAGGATAGGAAAAAGATCTCAGGTTCAAACAAGGAACCATGTCATCTTAGAGTGTCAAAAGGAATTTTCTCTAATTCTTGAGGGCCATCGAGGTAGGAATTTAGTTGACTGATTTCTAGTGGAAGCAAGGTTTCATGCCTCAAAACTCATGTAATTTAGTGAGATATACCTTAGTGGAAGCAACAATCTAGTAAGAAGGACATGTTAAAGGAGTCACTCCAAACAAAAGGCTAACATCATAGGAGATGGACATCTGTTGTCGGTGTAGCCATGCGCCCATGCCTTGGGGATACAGTTGTAGCGGCAGCGAGAATAATGCTTTGCATGCTACTCGTCCTTATCCCTTGCCATGGATCCTAAGGCTTATTTCAACCAAGGACACACACGTTGAAGAGGGGAGAATGACCAAAACAACATTTCATCATACAGAAAAGAACCACAGTAATACAAGTTGTCATAAAACTGAAAATGTCTTATAGGAAAGAACCTTTTTTACATTAATATTTTCTTAAAAATATTAAAAACCCAGCTTACAAACGCGAATATTACATGCGCTTTATGCAAAAGAGCATGATGACGAGAATATTATCTAGCTAGCAGGCTTTGTTATATACATCTATGCCTGCCTTCTTGGTGTTTCCACATCATACCACCAGGTAATGGTCAGCTTCTGTCACTCTGGCACAGGCTACTACTGCCCTTTCCTCTTCCTTCACTGCTGCTTCGATCTGCTGCTCGAGCCAAGAAGATGGTTGGCAAACATGGCACCTCCAGGCGCTACTGCAGGTCTGCAGTGCTTGTAGGAGCCGCTGCCAGAGCCGGATACAGCTGGGGCGCCACGGCTGCACCAGGGTAACGGGGCAACTGAAGCATGGTCGTCCCGAAGGGAACCATCGTCGCCGACGTTGGGTGGCCGCCGAGGACCATCGGATGAGCTGCTGGAAATGGCATGGCCACTGGCGTCCCCGGAGGCACGCACTGCGGTTGCACGACAGGATACACCGCCGGGGCCAGGCCGACGGACATCGCCTGCACCTGGTGCTGCAGCGATTTCATGTAATGGATGGTTTGGTCCAGAGTCGAGGCTTGGTTGGACTGAAAATGTTATCAATCAGTCATGTTATTAGAACCCAGGAAACAACTGAACACAGCAAGCACCTATATACGCATGATTTAAATCTAGCGGCAATCGAGCACTAGACGAGAGGAGAGATAATTTGTGGACTAGGTACTTATAAGAATGTTGGACTTTTAATTTGGACTTTCTAAATATAACTAATATTGATAATTTTGCCTAAAATATGGGGTAGGCCTGGGACGACTACTAAACAAGGTTTGGGTCCGCCGCTGTAGTATGGTTAGTCGCATCAATTCAGGTCACAGCTATAAAAAATATTGTGTTTTTCTCTCACAACAAAACAACATCAGCCGGTTTATAAGCCACAAAAACGATCAAACGAACAGGCCTGACCCGGTTTGCTTGATCGTTTCTGTGGCTTATAAGCCGGTTGATGTTGTTTTGTTGTGAGAGAAAAATACTATATCATAGCTGATAAGCATGACTGATACGATCAAGCGAACACACCCGGTTTCGGAACCTGAGCTGAAAAGTCTAAATAGACCCAATGAGATATGCTTTTCGCTGCACGTACTGCCATCGTTGCCATGAAGGACAAACTCTTGAGTTTACAAAATTTTTCCAGATGTCCATCAGTTGCAAAATCCGTATTGATCTCTCCAGAAGAAAACAAGGGACCGGGCAAATAAAATTGGACGCACCTTGCTGCATCCCGGGACGAGCTGCTGCAGGATATTGAACCTCTCGTTTATCTTGTGCCTTCGTCTCTGTCAGCGTATTCATTCAGCACATAAATTAATTAATACTGCAACTGATCAGTGCATGGCTAATGCCGTAATCAGTGGCTTCAAAATGTGTCATGTAAGAGAAAGTGGTTGCTGCGTGCGTGCGTGCGTCATATATACCTTCTCTGTCAGGTTGTGTGCTTCTCCGTGGTGAGACCTTCTTGAAGATCCTCCTGATGCCGGCGCCTTTCTCATCTCCTATCAGAGCCCAAGGCAAAACAAGAAGGTAAGAGTATTGCAGTGTATGTGCACTGACTAGTAGTTTTATTCATTCATGGTGATGAGGAAATAATAAAACAAAAAATAAATTTGACTCAGCAAATTAACTTCTGATGAAATCAACTTGTTGTATACCAGACCACAATCACACGATTCAGACCAATTCAGAAATTCTTACTATTTAGACTTGAGTCTTAGATACTGCTTTTTGGGACCCTTAATAATTTAACCCTCAGGAGAGTTGTTGGGAATTCCATTAGATCTACTTTGCTTCTAACTTATATTACCCACCTTATACCTGTCTTTGTCTTTGTCATTAGTCATTAATTATGAAAAGTAGCCTAAAATAACCAGTAAATCTAAATATAATTCACACATATGCCATTATTAAAAAGAGTGCAAAGTAACCCACAATATGCATACAAATTACACATGGTGGACATTATTAAAAATATACTTAAAAATAAGCAATAACCAAATTAAAAGATCTACATTTAAATTACCCATATGAAGTATAAGCAAGATTAGTTAGATGTTGTTTTAAGATTCCTACCTTGATGACCCTCAAGAATAAGTACTAAGAGGTATGCATGATTACACAGATCAATCCCCAACTTTTACTGTAATACCTTATAAAAAAAACTTTTACTGTAATAAAAGTTAGTTCATCAACCATGCATATTTCATTCAATTCGCCCTGAACGGTTA